GGCGCCGCCATTTGCCGCGGGGGCCCGGGCGGCGGCGGCGGCGGGGCCCGTGTCGGCGCTTCAGCCMGACTAACGTGCGCGCCCGGGCGCCGGTGATAGCGCCGAGGGGCCGCGGGCGGCCTGCGCCACCGGTGGAGCCCGGGCCGCGCCGCAAGCGGCCCAGCGGTGGCCCTGGCACACGCTGGAGCAGCGGGTGGTGCTTTCACCGGGTGGAAACGCGCCCGGCTCCAGCAGTCTGGGCTCTTCGGGACTCTTTCCCACCGCCTGATCCAAAGAACTTTGGGTCACCCCCCACCTCCCACTAATACAGCCTGTTGTCGGGAGCGGCCGAGCTTAGCTCGTGCCGTCTTCGTGTCAYTGTTAACAGCGCCTTTGGAATGCCCCCTTCCTCCTCAGCTTCGGTTTCCCATCTCTCTGCTGAGTTAAGGCAGTCGCTGCACGCGGCGTGAGGGAAAACGCTCCACCCGSATTGCATCGTGTCAGGGGAGAGCTGGAGCGCCATCCCCATCCGCTTCCCGCCGCACTGGGGAACATCCATGGCGTGGTGCTGGAGAGGAGAGCAAGGCCTCGCTTTTGGGGAAGTCGGGTGCCCAACTGATAAGTAGGAAGCTGCAGGGAGACCCTTGTAGGGAAAGAAGCTTAAGATGGCAGAGAAGGACAAGATGTGTCTTTGACAGTCGCAACAGGGAGGTGTTAGATCCGTGGTGGTGTTTGTGTAGCGTTTTTGGGGGTGCGTTATAACCATGGATGAAACTCCTCAAGACTGGATTTTAAAGCAAAATGTCAAAATGTCTTCTCTTCAGATGTTCTTCATTTTGAACTGCCTTTCGTTCAAATCTTGACCTCATGCAGAATGGAGTTATGACATAATAATATTATTGATCAAATCATACTCAGGCTCTTGGAAATTTTGAATTCCAAAGCCCTGTCTTTTTGGCAGCTTCAGTGACCATCAGAACTGAATTAGGAAGGTATTTTCCACAGTGATCTGCAAATTATTCTGTTGTGTTTATTTAAAAATCTTCCCTCTGGGTAGCTGTGATACCAGAAACAAGGTGTTATGGCTTCTTAATGCAATTACTTTGGAGCTGAAGCAGAGCCACAACGGAGAAGAAACTTTATTCAAACATCTGTCAGCCATGACATAAAACAGGAAAAAAAAATTAAATTATATTGCCACATGACGTTATCACTGCATTTTGAATTAAATTGAAAAGTTAATCCAGATGACAATGCATAGTGGGGAGATGAAGATGTATCTCTTGTGTCATGCAGGAATTTAATTTACAGGAATGAGCTTTGCATTCCAAGAGTTTTTCTCATACATGGATCATGTCCTACCTGTTCCTTTCTTTTCAGAGTATTGTGCTGTTGGGTCTTCTGCTGCTTTCTGTTTGCTAATCCCAAATCTATCCCATTTACTCATAAATGTGGCATCTTTGTACTTCCCAAATCCTTCTAAGCCTAAGTATACAGTGATCTCCAGTGTTCTGGCTTTTTTGATCTTTAGTATACCAAACCCAAGTATATATTTGATTCTAAGAGCATGTAATGACATGAGATGTGTGTTCCTCAGATCAAGCACATCTTTGTGTCCTCCCAGAAAAGTCAGTGGTGGGATGAATTTTTGAGACAGGGCATTCCAGTGTATTGGAGCGCTGATCTTTGATTCGTTTTACTCCTGCTTTATACTAGTTTAACTTTTTTTTTTCCCCCCCACATAAATATTGCTTTTTAAATATACCTGCTTTTGAGGACTCGGAATATACACATTAGGCAAAGCTTCCTGTGCAGCTGGACTAGTAAGAGCTGTTCAGTGCTGTTCTATTATTAGACTCTGTTTTCAGTTATTTGTACTATTCTTAATTTAAGGCATTTGTGCTGAAATTTTGTGTCGCTCATGTTTAGTTTCGCATGGATTTCCTCTAAGTTTTCCAAGGAATGCCTTAACAACTTCTGAGAAGAAAAGCATGTAGAAAGTTTGCTTTTTAGTCATTGATGAGAAAAGTGTATGCCATTGCTCATTGCCGTTGCTCATTGCTTTGTTGGGCTCCACGCCTCCGAGGAAGGACCCGGGATTTGGCAGGAGAGCGTGCAAGGAGGGTTCCCTTCACGGGCCTTTCATTCGTGCAGCCCTGCCCAAACAAGGGCGGTCATAGGCCTGTGCTTAGGAGATGYTTGCTGCTGCTCAGCGTGGAAATTGTGTCTGTGTGCGATTCTTACTGACRGTGCTGCCCAGTCCAGGAGGCTGGGGCTGCCTGCAGGCAAAGGAGGGTGTCTCGCCGTGTGGTGGGTCGGGCCTGTGGCAATGAGGAACCCCTGGCAGCACATTCCCGTGGCTGGTGGGAACGCCCTGAGCAGCGTGTGCTTGTGTGAGCTTTGGGAAAGAGAACACTGCGCAAGCTGCTAGGAAGTGCTTGTGCACTTCAGGTGGATGCTCAGCAGAGGAGGAATATCTTACCCTCTCCTCCCCACTCCCCCCACAAAAAACCCTCTTCTATAAATGACAGCTCAGATAACTCCGTTTCCTCTCATAAACAACTGAGCYCCCTCTTTTCCTTCTTTCTCTCCGTAAAGAGTACGATGAGCCTCCGCAGTGCAAGGCWGGGCAGGATACGGTGCTGCAGGCCCCCGTCGACTGGCTGCTCCTGGACGGCCGGGAGAGCTCCGATGACCACGGGATTGTGCAGTACGAGTGGACTTTGCTGCAGGGTGACGCCTCCGTGGACATGAAGGTACACGGGGAGCCCCTCGCGCCGCCGCCGACGGGCGGCTCGTTGCTTTCAGTGCAGGAGTCAAAACACTGCATGCCTTCAAACGGCTGTCAAGCACCAGGTTTAGGATGAATGGCCAGTCTGAGCCTTCCTTCAGGGGCCTTRTACAGTGCACTTTTATGTACAATGCATGAGACAGCCCATGGCAAGTTAAGTAGATACCAATATTCTATTGTATTTCATGTATTTCATCTCTGCTGTCTTCAGGCGTTGCTTGTGCTCGCTGCAGCTGCTTTTTAGTGTCTGTGATCCATGCCAGAGCAACCTCCGAAATTCAGTTACTAAAAATATGGCCATAACTTTACCTAAATTTTGTTTCAGTGTTTGTGGAGAAACTGCAAAGAATTTTGTGATGTAGACCTTACAGGACATACTAAAGAACTGTCTTATTTTATCTGTACCGTTTGTGTTAGAACTGAGTTTTAACCTTTTTGATCATGATATCAAAATAACCATCAAAAGAGGGTTTCTCCACCCTACCCTTCTTTTGTGGCTGCTGTAAGAACAGCAGAAAAAGGAAAGGAAAAATATTTTAAACACATTGAGTCTTTTCACAGTGTGCGGTACTGAGAGCACACCTGGGAGCCCACCTCGAGCAGGAAGGACATGGCAAAGGGGAGAGGGAGTCAGCTTAGTCCTTAGTGATGCAGAGAGGCTGTCCCTGGCTAGGGAGAGCTTAGACACAGCAGCAGCAACAGGGAAGAGCCTGCTGGATCAACCTAAAGTAGATAGTTGGGCTTCTCCAGTGACAAGTTACTGAAATCTATGCACAAGTGATTATTTTTTTTGAAACCATCCTCCTTGAAGAAAACCCAGCAAATCAGTTCAAAAGGGTTAGTCAAGCCAGACCTGCGTGTTCAGATAAGGCTAAAAGTCTCATCCTTAACTGCATGGTCAGTCACATCTTTGGAAGGGTTGCCCCATTCAGCCAGTTCCGAATTGCCTGAGGCAGTGTCACAGTTTGAATCTGTCCTCTCAGAGACCACTGTGAGTTATTTCTTGTCATTTATTATTTTTATTGTCTTTAAAAATACAAGGCCAAAAGGCACTCACGAGGAGTGTAAGCAGCAKAATATGCAGAAAAGACTTGAATGAAGCTGGAATAGACACTAGATATCACCTCAATAAAAGGAAGATTTTATTATCTTCAGTTGTTAATCTGACCCTTCGCAGCATTACTAGATTTCTTTTGAAATTAGGGTGATGTAGTAATATACCTATAAAGGAACACAAAAAAGTTAACTAAAATTTTTGAAGTCCATGTTATTACTACTTTAGCTTAAATTGACGTGTAAAATAGTGACCAGGCTCAGGTTTATTTAAACCTGCAAAATTCACATTAATTTTGGTAATTTCTTTATATTTGATGACTGAAATCAATTCTGACACTTAAATAACTGATTAAATAGCTAAATTTCTGTTGTCTTCAAGTGAGTGGGAATTTTTCTCGCTGATGTGCATTTTGATGATTACSATGGTAATTTTTAGTGTTGAATTAACAACTGTGATTATTCATACAAATATTGATGGTTGGGTTGGGATCCTGAAGTTACTAGATTTCTTTTGATCTCTTCTTAGAGAGCTATATGTGAATCCGTAGCAACCAGGGGTAATGAGGCCATATGTTTAAATAAGATAAAAGGCAGCTGTTACATTGCACTCAGGTACAAAAGAATAAACAGAAGGTTACTCTATGGTGGAAGGAATCATTTATTTTCTGTTGTGATTACTTAGCTCAGGGATAGCTGGCTTGTTAGTTTGTTCTGTCCATAGTGCTGCTGCAAAGCCCTGCTACAGGTGTGGGGGACTTTGGGTTTGTTTCTTTCTCAGGAGGATTACCTGGAAATTTACTGTCTAGTCTGAGCCAAAGGTTAGAACAAAGCAGGGGGAGTCAGGCTTTGTTCAGGGCAGGACAGAGAAGGAAAGGGAAGCCGAGAGGTCCTCGAGGACTGGCATTTTCCCAGGCTCTGAAGCAAAAAGCCAGAGTTTCTCTGGATTTTTTGCCAAGAGTGAAACTCTGGTTTATGAGTTTTAGAAGTTATGTTTGCTCTCCCAGCAMCCACGGTGAGCAGCTGCAGTGCTTTTGGTTTGGTAGTACAGTAAGTAATAAAAATGCAAAGATATTTAGGAATCATCAGGAAACAATGAASAGCACAACTAGATAAATGAGTGCACTTGGATATATAGAAGGAGAAAGAAGTTTCAGGTAGGAAATTAGTGGAAGAATTAAGTGAATTTATCAATACACTCCGCTCTAAAACTCTATTATCACGTTTATTGAAATTTCCCGTTATTTTTTAAGTGTTAAAAGCAAATTTGATTGAATAAAACCAAAACTCTTTATTGAATTTGGCTTTTAATATTAAAGATATTCACAGAGTGAATACTACACACTACAGTGTACTTTTCAGTAACTCATTACTATAAAAATAGGCCTGTGCTCTTGTGAAAATGCACTAGATGTCCAACTAATTTGTGCATGACTTTGCCAATTTYATTGTATTTATTAAAGGCTGTGTTACTTATTTCTGTCAGCTGGAGATATTTGTGAGCGGAAATTGTTATGAGATTAAGAAAATCATCATTTTATACAAGTATCTCATTTTATATAAACTTGTTCCTAAATTACTATTTTACTAGTATGCCATTTTGCTATCTAAGTTCTCATAAAAGAAGTTGTTTTCCTAAATCTTTTCTGATACAGTGCAATTTGTTTCTACACGTGGATGTGTCTATATATGAATGATTTTTATGTAAAACTCATACTGGAAAGAGGTAGGCAGTCTTACTAGTAAAGTAATGCTTAAATCACCTTATCAAAAGTCATTTGTAAAATGAGCAGTCTTAATGTAGCATTAGATGTGTACTGACCTATAAATTAGCTACATGGAGAGTACAAGGCAAAATATTCTAAAATATTTCTCTCCGCTCTGTGAAATGACGTTTCTTGTTACTGAAAATTTGACTTGAATTTATCAATTCCATTTATTTTCAGATGTTAGGAGCCACAGTCTCACTTAAGTGCACCGTTGAAACCAGAATACAGATGTTAAGCRTGTTTATTTTTCCAATCTGAAAACAAAAAGTAAAGATCAAAATTGCACTCACTTGAGTGCTCTRGCTAGACTTAAAAGCAATATTTTATCTGTATGAAAAGCACCGGACACAAAACTTTCGGGCAGATCCTTTCTACCAGTAAGGTTTCTTTTTCGCTGGGTTTCTTCTCCAGGTGCCACAACCAGGAACGCTGAAGCTGTCCCGCTTGCAGGAGGGGCTCTATGTTTTCCAGCTCACCGTGACGGACACGGCCGGCCAGCGCAGCTCAGATAACGTCTCGGTGACGGTTCTGCCCATGGTTCATTCAGCAGGAGGTGAGAAAATAACTGAAATCACTGGCTCTCGGGTGTGGACTCTTTTTGTCCATTCCTCCCTTCCATACGTTGTCCATTATTATCTCTCCCTTATTTTTTATGCACCAGCATCTTTTTTGCTTTTGAATTGCCATTAATAATGTGTGGGACTAACAGATGAATAACAATATTGGCCTGCCCCTGTAGGCTAAAAGGTGGGATGGTGTCTTGCTTGCATGCATTTTGGCTTATCTGCTAAATGTTTGTTAAGCCATTGTTGAAGTTCTAGGTTAGTGTGAAAACTGAAACTGATCATCGTTTTTTATACTCTGAGCTTTAGAGATATATAAAAACAAMGCCAAAAGCTTAAAAAGAAGGAAAAACTGCTGCATTTCAGTGGCTGTCATTTTGGAGCTCTTAATTAAAAAATATCATGTACATAGATATGGTTAGTGTAATTACTTCTAATTGCTTTGTAATTAGTAAGCTGCTAATATAGATCTGCTGTTGTAGCACAAAGTAAAGGTTAAACTAGCATGGTGTGTCTGGATATGTTACTATATTCAGCTGGACCAGCAAAGCTTTGCTCTGCCCTGGTGCATTATCTCCACATTAGAAGGTAGTCCCAGTGGCAATAGATTGGTATTGGGAGCGGGGAGAAACAGTTATGAATCTGTCTAATAATGTCTATGTTCCGGTAATGGGTGGTAGAATTGTATTCATTGATATCTAATTCAGCTAAAGCAGGGTTTTTCTGTTTTATTTATTTGGTGCTGTGGGCATCTGTGGTGTCTTTCGGGTGGAGCAAGCAGAGGCTCTGCTGCTTTTTCGATTTTTCTACTTCCCCAAGTGTGTTTGCAATCCAAGGGCTCCTGCTGTAGTTAGGCCAACGCACAACGAACGTCTCGGTGTGTACAGGACCTGCACTGTTACTAGCACCGAGGTTCATGAGATGTGTTTGCAAAGTACGAGGGGCTTTGCTGTCGCTTTAAACAGGCAGGACGTGTCCATGCCACACTTCCCTGCTGTTGTTCTGCTTTTCTAGTAGCTGCAGCGTGTGGCAGTGCAACGGCTGAAGGCTCTTCCTTGCTGGTCTAGATCTACTTGCTGTTGCCAGCTTAACCAAATGCTGAACCTGATAGTGCTTTACAAAGCCGTGAAATACACATAGATGAGCRCTCAGTAGTTTTAAGATCAAAATGGGTTTCAGGAAGACCTTGAGTGTTTGTCTGCAATTGTGAAATGTCCAGGGCMATGTTTCTAGAGGAATATGAATACTAAAGCAAGCTGCAATACAGTTCTTCCTAGTGAGGGTCACCTGGAAGGTCTTGTGCTCGTTCCTCTTCTGACATACGCTGTACTGAGGCAATGGATTGCTCGTGTGGGCAAACGATAGGCATTTCTTCTAGTCTTTCCATTGGCTTACAGAAAATATGGTGTAAAAGAGCCCAGGGTTATCATACAGCTCATATATGTGCATATAAAATAACATAGTCAGGCATACAGAATGGATATGGAATGTGAAATACATATTTCAGAAGTGCAATTAAAACTATAAAGATCTCTTCCATTTGTTTCGGAGTTGTCCTGGATTTTTTGAGCCCGGAAAGAAGATCTCCCTTCAGCTTATGCCTCCAGGGCTTGGGGTGCTGCGGGAGAGCCGCACAGGCTGCAGGGAGCAGCTCTTATTTGGAGCCTGTGTGTCCATGCAGCRCTGCAGAGCTGAGCCAGGCCCTTCTTCAGCTTTCCACTTCACGTGTGGTCTTTCTTGACAGAGTCTGGCTTCACTTTTGCGTGATACTAAAGATTTTAGTCATTGACTGAAGACTTTGCATTTCTCCTGTGGTAACATGAGAACTGTTTTTCAACAGCCTGTGTCGGGGTTTGCTCTCGTTACCAGTTCATCTGTGATGACGGCTGCTGCATTGACATCACATTTGCTTGTGATGGAGTAAAACAGTGCCCGGATGGATCTGATGAAACCTTCTGCCAGAACCGTAAGTGCCCTGAGTGACAACACTGATCTTGAAAGTAATCCTAGGCTGTCTGACCCACAGAAACCATGACAGAAACCATGCTGTCGATGTTCCCTCCTTCCACGAACACTCACCTTGCTCTCAGTTTAGAACTGTTCCTGAGAAGTATGTAGGCAGATTTGATGTCATCATACAGCAGGAGCTCAGAAAATAACTCATTTTTTTTTAAAGCATTAAGTGCCAGAGTCAGAAAATAATTGATTTTAAAAATCAGTTCCTTAATTGTGTAATGATGCCAGATACGTCATCTCCACCTGAAAGGGTGTCTTGGAGGTAAACTTGAAAGCAATCAGGCACCTTACCAAAATCTGAAATGCTTGGAAATCTGAGCAAGYAGGAAAACAACTGCTTCACTATTGCTCTGTTAGGCTCTGTTACTCATCCTGAGTGTATCCCATGCTCAGAAAAGTTGACCGAAATCAGCAGGGGCATCAGGGCAGGATTGACAGGGTGGCTGGCAGCTCTTTCCATGAGTGTTTCAGCTGCTGGATTTCACATTAACRGTTCATATGTGTGCTCCTACCTATTGGCATTTGCTAGCTTGCTGCGCAGCAGGAACTCACATTTCAGTGCATGTCTGAGCYTGAGGAGAGCTTGGTTAGCCTACCTCAACTGCAGGGTCTTCCAACAGCACATTCCCCACTGTATTTATTTCCACACAAAAACAATTGGTTTTGTRTCTGCTGATGCAGTCAGCCCAGGGCGGAAGGCAGTGACACACGCAGCTCTTGGCACTACCCAGCAAAGGACCGGAGGGCTGACTGAAAACGCCCCTGAAAACTTCTCTGCAGACAACACCCTGAGGAGCCCCGCAAGAAACCAGCCGCTGCTCGCCCTYGATGCAGACACGTCCAATCAATCGCTTTCTCAGGGACCAAAGAAACAAACCAGTGGATTTGTGCCAGGTAAGAGTGTAAAGGAATCAGTTTCAAATAACTGTCTTCTATGAAGGAAGACAGTGTCTTTCACTTTACATGTAATAAAGCTGTCTTTTGGTGCCTTGCTAACAGTAGGAAAAAAAAGGCAAAAGGAGCATTTAGTAGGTAAGTGACAACTAGGCAGTGCTTTATAATTGCTCTGTAATTGTCTAGTTTTCTTCTTACCAGGTGGCAAAAGAAAGTTAAAATGTGGAAACACTAAGAAATATACGGCCTGAGGTGCAAAACATGCAATGATCTAAATGTTGAAGGTTTTCTGTTTTCTTTTCTTCTGAATAAATATCTTACTTTTTATGGGCACTTCTTCCTGAATTGCATCTCTAGGGCCAGAAAAATCTTTCTCCCAGTAGAGAGGCTCATTCTTCAGTCAGAAAGCTTTTAAGACCCCAGAAATACTGCCTGTAGAGGTCACAAGCCTGCTGTGAGTCAGCATGCAGTAATCTTACAGGCAGCAATTATCAAACATTGCCTGCAAACACCAGAAGCTACAAGGAAACTGCCATGTCTCTTAAGGCAGCTGAAACAGGTAGGTCCCATGCTGGTGCTTTAGAATGGGCTGAAATGACAAATGATTAAAATTAAAGCTGTCTGCACAGAGCCTTTTTAAAATGAGTGCCAGACCCCCGACACTTGTTTCTTCAGGATTTAGACTGATTCTTGCACCACCTGCAGCTGCTCCCCGCTGGCAGCGTCACTCCAGAGCAAGACCATAGAGGTTTCCCTGGCACACAGCACATTGAGCCTGCTGCAACCCGCTCCCGATTCATTTCAGCCCAAGCTGGAAGACCACATGTTTCCTTCAGGAGCTGGGAATAGATACAGGAAAAGGAATYGAGTGTCAGTGAAGGGCCCCCGTGTCTCTCTGCAGGCACATCCCCAGCGTGAGCTCAGCCACACTGTGTCTCACAGAGCCCAGCCCAGCGTTTCTGCAGGGCTGCCCGCCGTGTTGTTCCCAGCAAGGCTCTCCCACCCAGCTGTCCAGCCTGGCAGGCTGCACTTGTGCATGGATTTAACCAAGACACCCTTGCAGCAAAGCTCGCTGGCGCAGTGCACTCGCTTCTAAGCAGCAACAGTCATTCCAGCAACCGTGGGCATGTAGACAAGTTGAACTACGAAGCAGCCTGCAGATTTTCATTTCCCAGTGTGGCAAAAGCGAGCACATAAATCACAGTCGCAGCTTTGCATTCCCAGGGGCTCTGCCTGCCCGGGCTGCCTGCAGCAGCTGCCCGGGATGGGATTACAGCGTTTGACCGAGTGCCCGGGCCCTGCTCCTGATCTCACTGCGGAGGCACCGAGAGCCGTGGCGGCCGCTTAGCTCCACAGCCCTTCCCTGCTGCCCTGCGGGGCGCTGCCGTGGCCTGGCCACAGGCTAGAAATGAAGAGAAAGTGAAGACAAAGCAAAACCCACAACAGAGGCTGTAGCTTAATAGTGTTAGGAATACTGCTAGGCAGGCAAGAAGGCCAAATATATAAACGTTCTAACACTTCAGGGAAAAATTCTCCTTTCTCCAGCTCTCTAGAGTTATCCAACAAATTCTCACAAATTAGTTCAGAACTCGGACACCAGACARCACCAGTGAGATGAATTGCCAGTTCCTGGGCAGCTCTGTGTGAGTTCCAAGGTGACTGGATCTATGCCTGAGGAAAACCGTCATTTCATATGTTGTCAAAGAGATGTGGACCCTTAGGGCATCAGGCTCCAAAACCYCTTTGGGGCAATCTGTTTTTTTTTTCCTCCAGTTGATAACTTGACAGTGTCTCCAGTCCTGTAGGAATAGCCACAAATCCTAACAAAATCCTACGAGATTTCTTGAGAGGATTCTGTTATTCTACTAGCCTTCTATTTATTTTCCACTAATCTGTATACTCAGATATATTTGCTAAATGTCTTCACAAGCAGTTGACATAAATATTCCCTTATGTAAATGGCAGAAAATCAAATTTAAATGGCAGAAAATCAAACAAACCAGACATTCAGACCTAGTCTTGTAATGCAGGCTAGATCAGCTCTAAGAAGAGCTGGTCTCTTTTGAGTATTTCCAGAATTAAGGAAAATATTATTTAATTTTATATAGGGAAAGCTGAAACCAAAAGCCACTGGCTAAGTCTCTATTACATTTAGATGAGTCTGTGCAGCTCAATATTATTAAAATAACTTAAAGCTAGTGCAGTTTACACTAAGCATTACCTCAGAGCCCTTGAGCACGCTAGCACAACTTAGTGCCTTCCTCACGCAGGTGGCCAGGGCTGGCGCTGCCTCCAGGGCACGAGGGGTTAGTGCTTGTGCCCCGACCACAGGGACRAGGCAGTGACCCCGGGGCCTGGGGGGCTCTTCCCTCGAGTGGGGATGTTAGTGCCAACCTCACACCGAGAGCTGAAGCCTCACCTGACAGACCAGTGTCCTTGCTGCTTCCATGGACTGGGTGGCTTTCTGCAGGGCTCCAGAGCTGTTCTTGGCGATACGGATACGGATATGTGTTCCAAGCTGAGTGACTTACACGCTCCCTTTTAACACCCACCATTGCGTGAAAATTGCGATGACAGTGTTTCACATTCGTGTTTTACTGGTGTCACAGCCTGACGTATCTTCACGGGCACTGTTGCAGTTCTGAGGGCCGTYGGGAAACACTTCACTCCATAGCCAGTGCCTCTCAATGTGCACATTACTGCTGAAAAGTCCTTCATGAGGAGCCACGTAAAGCAGGCATATTTCTGATTTTTGTGAGGTTGGTGGTGGATTAGGCTGCCCTTCTTGTATGAAGTGACTCCAGAGCTGTTGGTAGAGAACATCCATGTAAGGGTAGGAGAAGGGAGTCCTGGCTCGGTTACTTTCTGCTCTTGTGGGGCAGAACTAGTTGTCTATGGTACCAGGATGGCCAAGATACTTAGTAATAGAAACAGGCATGTGTTATTTCCTGTCTTGTAGTTGGAAAAAACGTGGGGAAACCATTTTGAAGTTGAAGAACCCCCCCTCTTCAGCTCTGTGTAGAACAGAAGGTATAAATGGATATTGTTTGTGCTTCAGTGCAAACAGCGTTTCAGTTCTGCATCTGAATGTGTTGGGGAAAGGGCAAAATTAAGGGGATTTCTGCAGCCAAGCTCTGCTTTTTCTGCTTTACAAACTACCAGTAAAGACAATTTGAAGTGGCCTAATGTTCAGCCATATACAACTGTTTCAGAAATGTTTGAGCTATTAATGTTTTAATCTAGATCATATTACAGAAGTTTTTATAGAGAATTTATATTTTTTAATCATTAAGAACTGACCCCACATAGGTTTCATTGAAATGGTGGGTGATGCAAAAATGGATTTACATTTAACTTGAATTTCATGTTAGTAATTCAAATTCTACAATAGGTGGCAGCAGTTCTTAGGCTGCATTCATGATACTTAAGTGATCGATTGAGACTCCCTCCATGACTAAACTGTAGTAGTCATTTCTGTGGCTTCACTTTACACAGACAGCAGTTCCTCAGGGAGAAGAACCAACGAGAAACTTGGAAATGGCCTAATTGTGCCCAGGAGGGATCCGCTGGGAGGCAGCCGCCCAGTCCCGGAAACAGGTAGGGCTGAACGTGAGGATCCCTGGGGATGGGGGTGAGGGGTTGCAGTCTTGTGGGATAGACCTAGGTCTAGCACCTAGTCAAGAGTGGGATGATGTCCTACCATCCGGGGGCCATTAGAGAATGGTATATACAGGGTATTAGAGAACGGCACATACAGGGTATTTTCCCGGTGCGAGTACTTGCTTCTTCAATATTAGCTGACAGACTAGCCATTCTCAGATGTCCTCCAGCGAGGGCTCAGTTTGTGTTAAACCCGTGCTCCTTCCCTAACCTCTCTGTAGGTGCCGTGCTGCCCTTGGCCCTGGGCCTGGCCATCACCGCTCTGCTGCTGCTCATGGTTGCTTGCAGGCTGCGTTTAGTGAGGCAGAAGCTTAAGAAAGCCCGACCCATCACGTCCGAGGAGTCCGATTACCTCATCAACGGGATGTATCTCTGAACACTGGGGCCAGGCTGCTCGTTTCCCCCCTTCCCCCTGTATCCACAAACCTCCGCCTCTAACAGAGGGCCAAGATCTGTAGTTACATTTTGAGCTTAGGGGAGGCCTGCGGGGTCGGCACCGCGCTCCTGCCCACGCGGTGCTGCCGCAGCAGCCGCCGCCGCGGGGTGGCTGCGCGGGAGGAACCAGCGGCGCTGCAGCCGAGGGGGGACCCTTGGGCATCCCCTGCGCTGCCCCCTGCCCCGGGCACCCCGCAAACGCTGCCTCCTGCCCCCTCATACCCCACGCGGGAACAGCTTCCTTCAAGGGTTTTGTTTTGTTGTGTTCTCCAATTAAAAGCAATCACTCTTTAAGCACCAGCCTTTTTTACAAAATTYGGGGGTTAAGGAACAAAACAAAACACCTTTCTTGCCCTTCATAGTTTTTAACCGTTAGTGCAGCCAACAGCTGCCCGTGCTGTCCGTGCTAAATGGTGACGTGAGGAAGGGCGATCCTCGGAGGAGGAGGGCTTGGGACCTGCCGGCCGCCCTGTGCCCAGAGCTCCTGGCTTGTGCGGCCTCTCCAGCCCTCGTGCCGCACGCGGGAGAGCAGCGGGATGCGCACAGGGAGCGGGAAGGCGGCGCTCCCGAGCCGGTGCTGCTGGTGCTCTGGCCACAGGCCGTTCCCATCCACAAGCCGTTCCCATCCRCGGGCTGTTCCCGGCCGCGCCGCTCCAGCCTCGGTGCCCCGGGCAGCCTCGGCAGCTCGCCCCCGCTCTGCCCCAGCGCAATTCTCCTAGAGTTAGAGCAGTAATTGATATGTGTGAGTGAACTTCAGGTGTGTTAGCAGTAAAACGTGTACAGTACATGTTATATATACAGATATATATATATATATACGTACCATGCTGTCTATCTTGTTTGACTRTCCAAGGCTGTCACGTTCGTCCAGGGTCGCAGTACGAAAGGAGCCAGGTGAGGCATGCACCTCTTGTATGCCATCCTGTGTCCTCCAGTAACTTCAAGTCAGCTGGAGTACTGCCGTGGTATACAGGTAGCTCATCAAAAACAAACTTGCTCGGTCTTGATGACCTTTATGTAAAATAGCTCTAATAAACCTATTTTATTCTTATATTTCTTGCACTGCATTTGTTTTCAGCTGTCAGCTATAACTGCCTATCACCTTCCTTTCAACAGGCAGGAATGAAACACAGCGTGAGGCCGGGCAGGAGTTTCTCCTCGCTGTGGAACAGCCCCAGCAGGAGCTGGGAGCTGCCACGGGGTGAGGGGCCGGGCTGGGGCTCCCCATGGCACCCCGCGCAAGTGGGGCCAGGGGCTCCTTCTCGCCCGTGCTCCCTCCAGAGCGGTGCTGGAGCGGTCACGGGGCCGTCCTGCCGCATCACGCCACGTCACACCACATCACCCTACACCGTGTCACACCACGTCACCCTACACCGTGTCACACCACGTCACCCTACACCGTGTCACACCGCGCCATACCACACCACGTCACATCACACCCCACCACACCGTGCCAGGCCGGGCCTCACTCACGCTCAGCACACACCGCTGCCCCTTTGCAACCCTGAGCACACTCGTAACTCTTTTCCATCGCAGCYTTCGGCAGACGTGGCAAGGGGTGCAAGGCCCAAGAGGCTACGTGTTAAATAGAGCCTTCTAGGAAAGAAGCCTGGCCCATCTGCTTCGTGCATTTTGCCCCTTTGCTGAAAAATTACTGACTTGCTTTGTTTGGRCTTTTAATTAAACATCTCATGCTTCTTGGCCACCCTCCAACAGCCTTTTTCTCACTGTGTTTGTACTGCTCCCGTTCCCAAAATCCCTGGCTCCAGCAGCAGAGCCTGCTGGMGAACACAAGGTTTAGGGTTGTGTCTCTGCGAGGGACAACAGGCAGCTCGGAGACATGGAGCACAGGCCACGGGGCGTGAGGAGGCAGCCGCCTTCCCAGCGGCTGAGCCCGTCTGCGGGCCGGAATCCACCTGCTCGCATGAGAAGAGCTGTGAGGGYGCCAGAGCCCTGGCACAGGCTGCCCAGGGAGGCTGTGGAGTCTCCTTCTCTGGAGGTCTYCCAAACCCGCCTGGATGCCGCCCTGTGCCCCGTGCTCTGGGTGTCCCTGCAGCGACYGCCGCGAAGGCACCAGGGCAGGCAGCGCCGCGGCTGCTCGGGCAGCTCAACACTCCGCAGCGGGACGCAAACAAACGAGCTGGCACCTTAACCAACCTTAACCAGGTTGATTTTATTACAGGAGAGGCTGGACGTTCTCTGGGAAATCAATAACTAGYTGAAGCTGCCAGCTCTGATTTTCCTCTCCTAAACATTTTTTTTGTAATTATATATAGCAATATAATTGTCCCTATATTTAACATTTTATGAAGTGGCAATGGAATATGCCCAGTCTGACTATTTTTATTATCCGCATTCTTTCAACAGATACACAAGGAATATGAACTGCTTTGATGGCATCTAGCTGGGAAGGCCATTATTGTGGATTTTGGCATTGGTTATATATATATATATATATATATATAACCAATATATAGCTCAGCTAGGTGGCTTTTTCTATTTTAGGATTTTTTTGCCTTTCAGACCATCTGTGTACAAGCTATTTTAAAGCAACAAACACAACATCGACCTGTTTTAGACCTAGCTGGGAAACAGGAGGGCAGGAAAAGCAGCCGCGCGCTGCCCAGCCTTGCGGGAGCATCTGCGCCTCAACACCCCCCCGCGCCGCCGGCTTTCCACAGCCCTTCAGAGCTCCGGCGGCGGCAGCAGTTCCCAAAACACATTTGCAAAACAAAAGGCAGAAATAGGTCAGCGTGATGCTCCAGTTGCTTTTTTAAATCCCAGATAAAGCAAAAAAGTTTCAGTCCAGAACAGCCTGGCGGGAGCCAGAGGCAGGAGCCAGGAGCGACCCGAAGGTGCCAGGGAAGCCCTCCCAGCCGGCACTGGGAATTCACAACCAGGCAGCACAAAGGTCTGAGTCTGCAGCAACTGGGACTTGGGGGTTACTAAAGGCAAAAGCTAAACAAGTAAAAGCAATGGGAAAAAAAGGAAAAGAAAAAGATTCAAAGAGAGCCGACAGACTTAAGAAACAGGCAGAGGCAACAAGCACAGGATGTGATGGCACTTCCCACTGTATTTTGACTTGATGCAAAGGATGAGAGACTAGCTAAGCCAAAACGGGTTAGAAAGTGAGAAAATAAGGCTACAAATACAACATTAGTAATACAACAGAAACATATGCTGAACATCTGCATCAAAATGCAGCATGAAACAAATAAAAAGTCTAGGAGAACTGAATAGTCCCAAAAGGTCAGTTCAGGGAAGCATTTAAAGACACCCGTTTGAATTTTAATTTTGCATTTATAAGGCTTGTGGAAAGTRTATTTTGAATGGGCTGAGAAACTACGACAGAGAAGCTCAGTACCGTGGTGGATCAGAGCTTGTAAGGACGTCGTCAGCTTCTAGGCCAACAGGAATTGATAATGTTTTGATCAGGACAAAGCAAGACGTTCTAGCGTAGCTTCCCTGCAACTACCAGCTCCCAATGTCCAGAAGAGACATGTTCAAGATGCTTAACTTGAAATCAAATATACTTAGATACAAAGGGAGCAGAATCTCAAACGGGTGCTGGCCTGGGAGGCACCTGAAGAAGGCAGCACAGCGGGAAGAAGGGAGGATGGGGAAAGGACACCCAGGGGCAGTTTAATGCACAAGAGGCTACTTTGCTCAGGCTGCGTCTGCCGCAGYAGCAGATAGGCTCTTCCTGAGCTCTAGTCACAGCATTAGTCTAAACAGATGCTCAGAGTCACTCACATGCGTAGCCAGAGGCCTTTCAGGGTCTCCTCTTAGTCCACAAGACACCCAAAAAGAATTTATTGATTAACCTCAAACACTCTCTCTCCATTAGAGCAAAAAATAGTGTGGTGGAACTTGGAAAACAAGGCACTTCTGTGACACATCTTCCAAAAAAATGTGAGATGCAGATGTATACCTAATCATGGCTGAAAATAGGACTTTAGCCTCTCAAYAAGTTCAGGGAACATTTTCAACATTATATTGCAGGTCAGCTCTTCAGAAGCCTGCAGTGGATATAAGGGAGAACTAAAAAGAAATAATCCAAGTAGGATCACAGAGAACTTTGTCAGCAGTCTTTATACAAATAAGTTTTTGCTAAAGTAGAGATTTCATRAAAATAGAGGGCAAAATCATTCAAGGTCTTATTTTTGGTGTCACAAGACACAGTGTTTTCCTTAAATTTTTTCTCTCCTGAAGGCGTCAGGCAGTTTTTAACGGGCAGCCTGAGCTCCTGCACATACATTTCAGCAGCAGGTATCTCAGTGTCCCCCTGCACCGTGTGCCTCGGAGGCTCCACTCCCTCTCCTGCTGCCTTCAGGCTCCCTATTGCTCGGCAGTGCCTCGTTGTGGGACCTCTCCCCCTCGCTCCGCCACGCTGTGTCTTTCAGGAGGAGGAAAAAGGCTTACGCGAAGGCAAGAATTATGAACCTTATAATAGATTCTGGCTCACAAACGAGCTAAATTCAACCAGGCAGATGCATATACACAAGTCTTTGGCTTAGTTTTTAAGTTTCTCTCTCCTCCTTTGCATCAAGTCAAAACAAAGTGGGAAGTGCCATCACATCCTCTTTCCGCGAGCTGTGCTCGAATCAGATGTGGCAGAAGACTCTCTTAGGGCACATTAATGAGTAAAAAGGAATAAAACCCCAGTTGGCGATAACAAGGGCTTAGCGCCCTCCTTTGGGGCGAGAATGACAGAATCAGTTCAGAGTTCCCCTCAGGTCACCCGCTTTCCTTCCTTCCATCCCACAGCAGCTCCACGCTCCGAAGCACCGGAGCTGCGGCTGCCGTGATCCAGGGACGCTGCGGGAATCGTGCGGCTGGCCGCAGCCAGCACCCGCTCTGCGTGAGCTTCTCTTCACATAAACTAAGCGACGCGATGGCCGCTGTTCCCTTCGGGTTAGCTCATTTGGGCGCGCGCAGCGAACAGGCAGCTCCTGTAGCGGAACACGCACCAAGATCCATGCGCTGCCCACAGCGATGCAGCACCCGCAGCCGAGCCCGTCCAGATACTCGCTCTTGCTGCGGCCTCTTCCCCCGGTGCTGCGGGCCTCCCTGCCCGAGCCTTGCGAACGACTGGATCARGCCTTGCACCGCCAGCCAGCCTGTTCTCCCAAGCTGTTTTCACAGATTCATAGATTCACAGATTCACAGAATATTTAAGGTTGGAAGGGACCTCTACAGATCATCTAGTCCAACCTTCCTGCTCAAGCAGGCACACCTACAGCATGTGGCACAGGGTGGCATCCAGGTGGGTTTTGAAGGCCTCCAGAGTAGGAGACTCCACAACCTCC